GACTGTGTGGGCGATGGGGGTGATGGGCCTTGCCTGCCCCGCTCCCTCCCAGGGCTCCCAGCCTCCAATCATCCGTTGCTCGCCATCGAATACCATTCGTCTCCTCCCCCTGTCCTCCTCCCCCCCTCCCCCCGCCCACCACCACCACCACCACCATGGCCACCGGACCGACAACGGCCAAGCTGCCACTTCTGGAAGCCGCCATTGAACGACGGAACATAGCCACACAGGAGAAGATGCATGAGGAGCGTATGGGTATGTGACGACTGCCTTGACACGCTGTCGGCTGTGAGCCGTCGGCTGCTGCGGCTGGCTTGGGCTTGGGTGGCTGTGGGAGGCGGTTGATGCTTGGGTGACGGGAGGTATACTCATGAGGGTGCTGATCATGGGGGGTTTTGTGTGGTTCTTTGGTGATGTTTATTTTTTATATGCCTTGTGGTGGTGTTCGGGGCGTAGAGAAACTGCACACCCTGCCTGACGTCAATCTGCAGGTGCAGGAGATGCGTGAGCACCTGGCTCAGTTGGAGGAACAGGCAGAGGTCCGTGCTCGAGAGGCAAAGCTGGCAAAACGGCGGAAGAAGGGAAAGAAGGGCGGAAGAAGGGAGGAAGGGCGGGAGATCAAAGAAGAGCTCAAAGGCTCGCCGCGGCAAGTGATCGCCCACACACCGTCGTCACGTCATCCCCATCCCCACTACGAGTCTTCTTCCTTTATCTTTGCCTCTACCAACTGGCAACCTCGCCCTCGGCCTCGATCAGCATGTCGCCGAGCTCGCGTGACGACTTGACAAGGCCGCGGACCTCGAGCTTGAGCGACCGCCATGCATCGGGCGTCGCCGACGCGTTGCCGTCAATCGGCCGAGAGTGCGCCACAAGGCTGGAGAGCACGTCGCGCGTCTCGGAAAAGTCGATGTTGTGCTTCCGGAAGAGCGTTGCCAGCGGCTTAAAGTCCATCAACAGACACGTCAGTGACGGCACCAGCGAGAACCCGTCGTGATTGAGCACGCAATCGCAGAACATCCGCAGCGACGTCGAGAACTGCTGCAGCGCAGACTTGCAAGCCGACGAGCCACCGTCGTCAGCCACGCATCCTCTACCGCCATTCGCGGTGCTGGTCTCAACACTGCCGCCGCCGCCGCCGCCGATATTGCCGATGTTGCCGCCTTGGGCGTTGCCTTCCATGTCTGGACGCGTCCGACGCACCCGCGAGTCTGACACTGACCGCGTCCGCTGCTTGACATGCGACGGCAGACCAAGCGAGCCACCTCTGCCCGCCCCACTCCCGCCACCGCTGCTTCCGGAGCTCTCACTCGCGGCGCGAACCTTTGCATCAGCGCCGGCATCGGCTTCGACCTCGACCTCAGCTGCATCCCCAGCATCGGCCTCAGCCACGTCCCGAGCATCGACCTCAGCCACGTCCTCGGCGACGTCCTCAGTCACGTCCCCGACCACGTCCTCAACCCCATCATCGGCCACGTCCTCAACCCCATCCTCGGCCACGTCCTCAACCTCGTCCTCCTCGTCCTCATCATCCTCATCGTCGTCGCTCAGGTCAAACGCCGGCTCAGACTCGGGATCCAGGAACGCTGCCGATGAAAGTGACCGCGAGTGCTGGTGTGCAACAGGCGACGCCGGACTTGGCGAGCCCTTGGTCGCTGCTGCCGCGGTGATGGCGTGCGAGATCGGGGGTGCCATCGCCGCGCTCGACAGGTCGATTGAGTCCTGAATGAACCGCCGGATCAGCACAATCCACCGATGAAGCTCCTTCTCGTCGCCGGCCTGAATGAGATACGTCCGGTCCGGCACCGTGATTTCAAACAAGAACGTTTTCGATGCGTCCGCGTACGACGCCTTGTTCACCGTCATCGAAGGCGAGATATGGATGAGCCCGGCCGCGTCCGAAACAGACTCCTTACCTCGCGGCGGCGCCTTCTTAAAGTACAGGATCGACCGCCCCTGCATGACAAAGAACCGCCGCTTCCATGACCGCACACGCGCGCCCTTCTTGCGGAGCCACCCACGGACCACAAGCCGCGACCCATACATGGTCTCCTCCACGCTCTCCACCTTGGTCTCCAGCACAGAAAACCTGTCGATGATCGTAGAGACCTTGGACGACGCCCGCGAGCCTCGGACTCGGACCTCATCGCCAGCGTCGCCTTCCACGCCCCCCTCGCCGCCAGCCCCGCTCCCGGTGCTATGTTGCGCAGCTCTCGCAGACCGCTGCATCCCGGCAGACGATTCAGAGACCGACCGCCGGACCTCGCCACGCGCCACAAGCGCTAGCCGTCCCGTGCCCTGCGCCGGCGCCGAGCCTACAGGCTCAGCCACGCCATCGCTGCCCTCCGCCGCCACCGACGGAGCTGCAGCCGGTGTCTCGTCGCCGCCACTCGCACCACCGACACGTCGCGGCTTGACAGTCACCTGCTTCCCGGCCGCCGCCATTGCGCGCCGCTGCCGCCGCCGCTGCCGCCGCAGCGCCTTCTCCTGCGCCAACGGCATGTTGAACATCGCCCGGAATAGATCGCCAAAGTACGGGTGGAACTTGACCGTCGGTGGCTGGACCGACGCCAGCTCCCACATTGGCGCCATCCATACCTCGAGGTCATCGAGCGGCACCAGCGCCGCCACCACCGCGCTCAGCCCGCTCGCGCTCGCGCCGACGCCAAGCGGGTCGTGGTTGAGCGCAGCAACCACGTCGTCGAGCGTCCGCCGCATCGACTGCAGCCGCATTTCTTCGGCAGAGTGGATGAGCTCCAGTGCCCGTGGCAAAACCATCTGCGTTTGCGAGCCCTGCACCATGTTAAACTCCGAGACCGTCCGCAGATACGCAGCCTCGGCTTGTGCCTTTTTCGCCTGCGACTTGCGCGCCCGCTCCGCCAGCTTGGCCCGCGCCTCGGTATTCTCCGCAGACGCCAGCGTGATCTCGTCGGTCTCGGCCGCCTCGGCCCGTGCGATGTACTCGACCCGCGCGGACTGCATCGCAGCCGTCGCCTCTGCCAGCGCCTTCATCGAGTCCTTCGTCAGTGCTTTCAGCTCCTTCACCACCTTGGTCACCGCTTTGCTCACATCCTTGGACTTGGTCAGTGCGTATTTGACCTTGGCCGTTGTTCGCTCGGCATCGCGCGCGCGCAGCGCAAGGTGCTCCATCAGGCTCGCCTCTACCTCGCGCGCCGTCACAGCCGTCACAGCCGCTCTTGCTGCAGCATCATTCTTCGCCCCAGCTCTAGCCTCGGCCTCAGCCCCGGGCGGCAGCTGCGGCAGCTTTCGCCCACTACCCGCCTCAGCCGACCCACTAGCAGACGCACTGGCCGCGCCCTTGGCCGACGCCGCAGGCATCGCCATCAGCGTCACACTCCGCGACGAGCCCTTGCGTTGGCGGGGAGGGCGTGCAGCGCCGGGTAGTCCGAGACCGCCATGCTGGCACGGATTGAGTTCCGTGAGACGAGATTGGTCTTGCGGAGCGAGGTCACAGCCTTGGGCAGCTCGATGGCCTCCAGATCCGTAGCGGCCGCGAGTTTGTTGGGCGCCTCAACGAGCTCGGCGACTTTGGCCAACGACTTTGCATGCGATGCAAAGGTGGTGACCAGGCGATGAAGCAGCTCATTCGCCGCCTTGCAGCCTTCAATGGCCAGGCCAGCACGTACTTCAATTCGCCTGTAGCCATCATTGAGAGCCTCCACAAGAGCCAACGATCCCGACATGATGGAATTGAAGAGGCACAACTTTTTGCCACTTGATGAGAGCCTTTTGCCGGCACGTCACGCGCAGCCACAGCCACCAGCCACAAACGCCGCCTTGCCCTACAGCACTGACAAGGAACACTACCGTGCCACAAAGTCAACACAAGTATGGAACACTATGTAGTCTACCACTCTACAATGTGTATTGTCTGTGGTAGCTATATACCCCTCGCTTTAGCCTCTTGTTGGACTAGCAATCCAAGCTCCTCAAGCCCCAATCCCGTGTCAGGTGTTCCGCCTTGAATCCGCCCGTTGCCAGGCCGAACGATACACGACACGTGATGATCGATACAAGGTAACACAAAAATTATTGCTCGTCCCGCTCTCGGCACTGCACACCGCGAGCAACGACTCGTCCATCTCTATTCGGTACAGACGGAGGAGGAGGAGGGGGGGGGAGGATTGGGGGGGGGGGGGGGGGAGACGGATTTGTTTTTCTCCGCTGGCGCGCTTTATATCTTTGCCGACATCGTCACCGGCCGGCAAGAAACCTTGCGCTCGCGCGCTTGACCTCTTTGCCGACATCGTCACCGGCCGGCAAGAAACCTTGCGCTCGCGCGCTTGACCTCTTTGCCGACATCGTCACCGGCCGGCAAGAAACCTTGCGCTCGCGCGCTTGACCTCTTTGCCGACATCGTCACCGGCCGGCAAGAAACCTTGCGCTCGCGCGCTTGACCTCTTTGCCGACATCGTCACCGGCCAGCAAGAAACCTTGCGCTCGCGCGCTTCTCTCTTGCTGAAATCTTCACCGGCGGGAGGCCTTCTCGCGCTCGCGTCGCTCGCGCTTGGAGAAGAACGAAATGGTGACGGCGACGACATCACGGGCGGCATGGTCGAGACAGTCGAGGATGTACGAGGTTGTGGCGTCGACCTCGAGCTTGATGAGCGACTTGTGCTGGGGTGAAGGTAGATGCGGAGCGTGTCCGAAAACTGCGACTTGAACACAGCCTTGTTTCGCTTGCCGACCTTGTAGAGGCCGAGCCGCTTGCCCTTGATCTTGAGCGCCGCGTCCTCGGTCGGGTCGGCCGGCGAGTCGCCAATGATCTTGACGTCAAAGGCGGCCTTGTCTTGGAACAGCATGTCGCGGACGAGGTTGACCACTCTCCGCGAGATCTGGATCGGCCCGGTCTCGGCCGCCACCGGCTCGCCCACCACCCCGTCCGCACGGACCGGGGTGTACTCGACCCGGATTTTGCAGTGGTTGTCGTCCGACGTCGCCTGGTAAGACTTGCCGTCGGCCTCGGGCGTGACCGGAACGTAGTGGACGCCGTCCGACGATTTGGACCACACGATCGACGAGCCGCCCTCGGTCCCACCCCAGTACCGCCCGTTGAGCGTAAAGAGTGTGTCATGGTACTCGGAGCCCTCAATGGTGAGATCCTCGTACCGCGGGGCCCCGGGCGCCACGCCGCACGCCTCAAACGCCACCGCTCCCGAACCATTTTCGGCCGCCACAGGCGTGAGCACACACCGCACGTCGCGCCCGACGTCGACCGCCGTCAGCGAGTAGTGGTAGTGGAGCGCAAACGGAATGCGCCGCCACACCCCATCGCCGGCTCGCCGCTCCCACTGGAACCGGAACCGCCGCTGCAACCGCCGGTGGTGGCTGCTCTTGATCTTGAGCCGCTCGCCCTCCACCGCCTCGCCGGTAATGTGCAGCTGCTCCTGCGGCAGCTCGTCGGGTGCACACTCAAACTCGTCACCGAGCAGCTCGGATATCTCCTGCTGCGCCGCGAGTTCCTCGGCGTCGGCCTCCAATATGAGCGCCGTGTAGTTGGGCGGTGGGCCCGGTGGGACGTACGGCGCGCCCTGCGCTTGCGCCATCCGCACGTGCTCGTACTGCATCCGCCGGTAGTTGGCCATGGCCGCCATGGCCCGCGACAGCGCCCGCTTGTGGGCGTTCTTCTCCAGCCGCGCAATCCGCACGTGGTTATGGTGCAGATGCTGCGCCCGGTTGACCTCGCCGTCGCCACCATCGCCGTCGCCGCCGGCAGGCGCCGGCTCCTCCTCACCAGTGGCCGAGCCGGCCCCAGACTCGGACTCGTCGTCGTCGTCAATGTCCGACCCGTCGTCCGAGTGCACTCCGTCGGCGGTAACGTCGAGGTCGACATCGATCTTGGCCGGCCCGTCCGCACCCTCAAACGTCGCCCCGCGCGCCGCTGCAGACGCCGCCGCCGCCCGGATCTCGCGCAGCCGCGACATCATCGGCGCAAGGTCTGCCTTCATCGTCGCCAGCTCGTCGAGGTACCCTGCCACGGCAGAGTGCATTGCGCCGACGTCCAGGCCCGACGAGAGCACAACGCTCGACGCCGACGCCGACGCAGGCCGCGCGTCGTCAGCATCCTCGCCGCCAGCCTCGGTCGCCGAGCTCGCCTCGACCGACGACACCGAGCCGGCCGACGACGCCGTCGAGTCGCGCCGCGCCTGCTCCTTGAGCGCCGCCGTCACCGGGTGTGCTGCCGCTCCTCCACCGTCCTTGATCTCGAGCTTGCCGGCCTCGGCTGCCGCGCGCTGCGCCTCAGAGAGGTACGCGACCGCCCCGCCTACAAGTGGATTGCTCTCCACGTGAAGCTTGGTAAGCGCCTTGGCCGCCGCCACCCCCGGAGGCAGCGCCGTCAGTGCGTTGCCGCTCACCAGCAGCTGCGAGAACACGCCCGAGTTGGCGCCAAGCTCGGCAGGGAGCTTCGTCAGCGCGTTGTGGCTCGCGTCGAGCCGCTGCAGCTTGCGCAGCTTGGCCACCGCCAGCGGGATCGTGGTCAGCGCGTTGGACGCCACCTTGAGGTCTGCTAGGTTGACAAGCGCCTCAAAAAGCGCATCGGGCAGGGCCGTCAGCGCGTTGCCAGACACATCAAGAATCCGCAGCGTCGCCGCCGCACCCCCCAGCCCGACCTCAAGTGAGGTCAGCGCATTGCTCGGCGCATACAGCATCTTGAGGGCAGGCAGCGAGCCGAGCGAGCCGGGAAGCGTCGTCAGCCGGTTGCTGCTGAGGTTGACCTTGGTCAAGCCCCCGAGGCTCGACAGGTCTTGCGGCAAGCTGCCGACGCAGTTGTCCGCAAGGTCGACAGACGCAAACGCCGCCCCGGTAGCCGGATCCTCTAGCAAGACCGAGGGAAACGAGGTGAGCGGTGCCTTGGTCACAAACGGCTTAAATGAGAGCTCCTTGGCGCCCTTGGCCTTGACTTTGCCCACATACGCAGTCACCGCCTTGGCCGAGCCTGGCACTGTCTTGCCCGGCAGCGGCTTGAGAGCAGCGCTCTTGGCGCCGGTGCTCTTGGGCGTGCTCGATGCCGAGCTCGCCGACGCCGCTTCGGCCTGCGCCCTCTTGGCCCTCTCGGCCTCGAGCTTCTTCTTCTTCAGAAGCAGTAGCTTCTTCTTCTTCAGAATCTTGAGCTTGCGCTCTCGCTCCGCTGCCTCTGCCGCCGCTGCGTCTTCCTTGGTTGTCAGCGTCGACCCCGAGTTGGAGACAGTCGCCTCTTCCTCAGTCGCCTGATCGCCACCACTGGCCGCCGCCGCTCCAGCCGCAGGTGCCGCCTTCACCACCAACATCGACGTCGGCTTGGAGAACACACCATTCTTGCCCGGCTTGACACACTGGAAGTACTCCTTGCCCTTGACCGTGCCAGTGATCCGTCCCTCTACCCCCCCGCACACACACACACACACACACATCGAGCGCGCCCATGGTGAGTCAATTGCGGCAAGAAAAGATGCGGCGCTTGCCGACGCTCGCAAGGGAGGGGGGGGGGGGGGGGGATGATCGACATGCCAAGATCACACACAAGAGATAGAGAGGAATATCACCACCGAGGGAAAAGACCGTCATGGGGCACAGGTGCCGACGGAGAAGGGCTCCAAGTCGTGGAGATCAGCAAGCGGCCGACCCACAGAACGGCCCGCCACCAGCAGCTACCGACGACCAAGCGTATTTTGAAGAACCACTGCAGCACGGACAATCATGATTCAGACCATACCAATGACATGACCATGTAGAGGAGTTCATGCGTAACATGTTGATATGTGTATGGAGGTCAATATCGGGTGGTATGGCAATTGGTAGCAGTATAACGTAGAGGGTGTGCGGGAGGAGGGGAAGGCTTGATCAGGCGCCAGTGGGGTGCGACGCTCGTAGGGAGGGGGGGGGGGGGGCATAGTCATAGAACGTACGCTCTTCATTGTCAACCTCGACACCAACCCATGTACCAGCTTGAAAGTCAAGCGGACCAACATAGCGAACAGTTCCAAGGCCAATCTTTAGCTTGACTCGTGCTCCCACAGCCACAGGCTGGCCTTTGATGTCTACAGCTGCCATTACCAAAAGTGCAGACGGCAGAGAGAGAGCGGTGGCAATGGCGGCTGGCGGCTGACGGCTGGCGGCTGGCGGCTGGCGGCTGGTGGTGGCTGGCGGCTGGCGGTTCGCGCGCCTGCTCGTGGCACTGGTCGGCCACGACGACGCGGGCTTGCATAGCCTTTGACTTTGAGGGCGAGCTACCCAACTCAGACTGCGACATGGAAGGTGGGCGAGTTCGGGGGGACAACGACTGCAACCATGAAGGGTCTGAGGGGGTAATAGAGCCTGGCAGTTCTGGCGGTGACGGGCGAGGAGGGCATGGCGAGTTTGGAGCTGATGTGGGTGATGATGCGAGTGGCCGCGGTGGTACTCGTGATGCTGATGGTGACTCGTTGGGCGAACTGGCTCGACCTGGAAAACCGCATGTGGCTGGGAATGCTGGCAATGGTGGTCGGCGACTGATCGGCGGTGGTCGTGGTCGTGGTCGTGGTGGTCGCGGTGGTCACCGTTCTGGAGGTGGTCGTGGGGGCAACTCCTTGCTCCGCGTCAAGGCTACGGACACAAGAGTCGTCTCGATGAACACCATGCAGGGCACGCTGTGGTCATGGCTGGCAGACGCGCGCAAGTCGTCGGCAGGCGCAAAGTCGACGCCGGATTTGATGCTCGATGGATCGGCGCCTGAATTGGGTCACCCGATCAGGGAGATCAATGAGAGCCGGGCCGGCCAAGTTGGTAGTGGTGGAGGGAGTTCCGGCTCGCTGAGAGCCGGTTCCCCTGTGGGCCGGGGCCCTCGCCACTCGCGACATAGCTCACGGCGGCGATCGATGTCACGAACTCAGTCGCGGTCGGCACGTGTTGCTGCGGCGGTCGATGCCGTCCTTGGCCCGCTCCCGCCACGCCTCGTCGACCCTCATGTCCAGTGGGAGGTGCCGAGCCGGGACGAGCGACTCGCGGCTGCGCGCGAGCGCTCCAAGTGGGTCTCGCTCCACCGGACCGACTCGTGGTCGGACATTCTGCCGTCCGACGATGAGTCTGTGCTCTCAGACGACTCATGGTCCGACGACGGGCTCCGATCCGGACTCTCGGATGACGGCTCGATGTCGACGTTTGGCACGCCGCGGAGCTCACGGCGGCGCGGACGCCGGCGGCGGAGCAGCTCGGCGAGCTCTGGCGGGTACGGCACAGCCCGCTGTCGGGAACGGAAAGGATTGCGCGCCGGTGGCGGCGGCGGTGGCCAGGTCTCGTCGCTCGAGTTCTCGTCCGAGGCCGACGACGGTGGCGGACCGCGAGTGGACATGTCGTTCGGCGGCTCGGGTGAGCTGGTGCGGACCCGAAGCGGGACCGGACCGCAGGGCGGACTCGACCGGATGTACGAGATGCTTGAGACGGCGCGCGAGTCCAAGCAGGCGACGCTCCACGTGCCGATCATTGGGCTCACCCGCGTCCCGGAGCGCATTGCACGACTGACCGAGCTCGAGGAGCTGCGAATCAACTCAAACATGATGACGACGCTGCCGGCGTCGATTGGTCGGCTCGCGCGGCTGCGTGTGCTCGAGCTGCGGCAGAACCACCTGACGTCGCTCCCTCGCGAGATTGGCGACCTCAAGGCACTTGTCTCGCTTGACGTGTCGTGGAACAAGCTCGAAGTCCTCCCGGGTACCATTGGCAAGTGCTCGCGTCTCAAAGTGCTTGTTGTTTCACACAACAAGCTGGTGCAGCTCCCGCAGGAGATCGGATTCCTTCTCGGGCTCGAGGTGCTTGCCGCCGACGACAACGAGCTCACCTCGCTCCCGCCGTCGTTTGGCTACCTCCAGCACCTGCGGACGTTTTCGGTCTCTGAGAACTCGCTGCGGTCACTCATTCCGCAAATCGGCCTGCTAACGCAGTGTGAGTCGTACGACATTTCCCGGAACCCGACGGTGGCCTCGCTCTCAATGCCTCTGTGGTTTCTCGGCGAGCCGATCCCGCAGAAAACGGCGTGGCTGCTCGACGGCGTCTTTGTGACCTTTGCTTTTGTGCTCTTTTTGACCGGCGGCCTCGGCGGGCGCGAGAGGGCGAGGAGCGGGCTCGCAGTTGCGCAGCTGGCGCTCACAGGCGTTCCGATCACACTCCTGTTTATCTCGGTCATTGTGGCCTCGCTCCGGGTAGCCATGCCGAGCTTCACGCCTGCGCCACGGTTGCGGGCGAGCATGACCAACGCGCTCGCGCTCTTTACGCTTGTGTGGGAGTTTATGCAGCTTGTGGCCATGTCGATTCCGGGCGTGCGGTGGCCAGGCGTGGTGGGGACGACGGTCAAGGTGTTTCTCCTGGACATTGGCGCGCTCTTTGCGCCACTGTTCTGGTGCTCAGTGGTGCTTGGGTGTGCGCTCCGGGCTGCGCTCGAGTTTCCGCGGCTCCAGTCGTTTATGCACTCTGTGGGGCTCAACATCACGCTCAATCTTTCGTCGTACCTCGCGTTTGCGTCTGCGCTCTTCTACCTCCCGATCCTGCACAATGCGCTTGGGGCGCTGGCTTGCTCGTACCTGGAGGCCGAGAGCAAGGCGCGCGATGCGCTTGTCCTCCACCGCAACCCGGATGTAGAGTGCTGGAGCGGGGCGCACTTTGTGTTTGCGCTCGGCGCCATCGGCGTCCTCCTCATCTACTACCCAATGGCTGTGCTCTCGAACCCGATTTGGCAAGAGCGCAACATGCGGCTCGACGTCCGGTTCCATCCCGACTACTTGCTTGTGGTCTCGCAGGCCAAGATGTTCTTCTCGGTGGTGACTAACTTTACCCGCGAGTCGACGACGCGGCTCTCGATTCTGCTTGTCTCGTTCCTTGCCATGACGCTCTACACGCTCTACTCGCGCCCGTCATCGTCTGTTCTCGACATCTGGCGTGGTCTCTCGTTTCTGGGCGCGTCGGGCATGGCCGGCCTCGGCCTGTGGGTCACGCACGACGACTCGGTCTCTATGTCGGTGGTGGTTGGCATTCTCGCAGCGTGGTGGGTCGTTCTCGGCGCGCTCGGCACCAGCGCTACCCTCTGGGTCTGGCACGTCCACACGCGGAGCATGAAAGCGCAGCTCTCGATGACGGGCTCGTTCTTTGGCCCGCCTACCTCGCCGGGCCTCTCGCCGGGTGGAGGCGGCGGACTCGGGCTATCGCTTGGTCCCCTGAGTCCGCTTGGCGACGTGGAGAACACGTCGCCATGCCTGGCGGCGGACTCGGACTCGTCGGGCTCGTCGAGCTCGTCGTCGCTCCGCGGCGGCAAGACCAGCGCCGAGCAGTCGTCGCCGACTGTGTGCCGGGTGGCGCGGCCGTCGGCGGCGCTCGATGACACGAGCTCGGGGAGCGACGGTGTGCTGGGCATGACGATGGTGTGCCGCTCGTCCCGGTCGGGCTCCAAGTCTGTGTAAAAGAAGGCCAGCGGGATCCCGCAAGTGTGTTTGATGAAACGGCGTCGACTAGGCGGCGGACTTGATGGCGGCGATCTTCTCGGTGAGCTCGGGCACGATCTGGAAAAGGTCGCCCTCGAGGCCGTAGTCGGCGACGGAGAAGATGGGCGCCTCGGCGTCCTTGTTGATGGCGACGATGACCTTGGAGTCCTTCATGCCGGCAAGGTGCTGGATGGCGCCCGAAATGCCGACGGCGATGTAGAGGTCGGGGGCGACGATGAGACCGGTCTGGCCAATCTGCAGGGCGTTGTTGACCATGCCCTCGTCGACAGCGGCGCGCGAGGCGCCCATGGCGCCGCCGAGGAGGTCGGCGAGCTTCTCAAGCATGGCAAAGTTCTCGCCCGACTTGAGGCCGCGGCCACCCGAGACAACAACCGGCGCCGAGGCAAGGTCGGGGCGGTCCGACTGCGAGAGCTCGGCCGAGACAAACTTGACCTTGTCGGCGAGCGGGAAGTCCGGAGCGTCCATGGCGACAATGTCGGCGGAGCCGCCGTCGGCGGGCGCGGCGTCAAAGTTGGTGGCGCGGACGGTCATGAGCTTGACCGGGTCCGAGGACTTGACGGTGGCGAGGGCGTTACCGGCGTAGATGGGGCGGACAAAGGTGTCCTCAGAGACAACCTCAACAACCTCAGAGATAGGCTGAGCGTTGAGCAGGGCGCCGATGCGCGGGATGACGTTCTTGCCCGAGACGGTGGCGGCGGCAGCAACGGTGCCAAAGCCGTGAGCCTCGACGGCAGCGGCGGCGGCAGCGGCAAGGTTCTCAGCAATGGGGTGCTCGACCTCGGGAGCGTCGACGACAAGGACCTGTGAGACGCCATCAATGGCAGCAGCAGCATCAGCAACGGCAGAGCAGTTGGAGCCGGCGACAAGGACGGCAACAGGGTCCGAGCCAGCCACAGCAGCGGCAGCCGACACGGCGTGCCGCGTAGCCTTGGCCAGCGAAGAGTTGTCATGCTCAGCAATGACAAGAGCAGAGGCAGACCGCGCAAGACGCGGGGTAGCGCGAACAAGGTTCTGGGTCACGTTCAGCATGGTGGTAGAGCGGTGTTGTGTCGCGTGGGTGGTGGGAGGGGGAGGAAGAGGAGGGTGGGGGGAGGCGGGGGGAAGGGGGAGGGGAGGTGGCGGTGAGCAGAGCGAATGGGAGTGGAAGAGGTGGATTTTTCTGCTGTGGCTCGAAGACTATATATAGCTCGTCCGATTGCGGCCGGGTAGGCGCAATCATTTGTGGTGGTGGTGGGAAGACTGCGCAGACGCAACCATTCACCCTGTCCGATACCGATGATGGCGGCGGGAAGACTGCGCAGACGCAATCAAATCGACCTGCTTGGTACCTGGGCAGGTGCAACCACTTGTACTGATGGTGGGAAGACTGCGCAGACGCAACCATTCACCCTGTCCGATACCGATGATGGCGGCGGGAAGACTGCGCAGACGCAATCAAATCGACCTGCTTGGTACCTGGGCAGGTGCAACCACTTGTACTGATGGTGGCGACTGCGCAGCCGCAGCAACCATTCACCCTGTCCGATGCCGATGATGGCGGCGGGAAGACTGCGCAGACGCAATCAAATCGACCTGCTTGGTACCTGGGCAGGTGCAACCACTTGTACTGATGGTGGCGACTGCGCAGCCGCAGCAACCATTCACCCTGTCCGATGCCGATGATGGCGGCGGGAAGACTGCGCAGACGCAAACATGCCGCCACAACCAGCATAGCGCAGGCGCAACCTCACCCTCGTCGACGCACGGCCACCGGGCCACAGCGCTCTTAACACGCCCCAGGCACGCACCCTGGCCCCAGCGCACGCCACGCACCTCGCCACATGTCGTCGTCTACCTCTCCCCCGACTCCTGCCGACGAGATAGTAAGCTCTGGCGTTGTGACGGCCGACCCGTACCTGGCGCCGCACGCACCCGTCCTCGCTGCCCGCCACGCGGCGTATGCCAAGACCAAGGCGGCCATCGAGGCCACCAGCGGGAGCCTCACCGACTTTGCACTCGGCTTCAACACCTTTGGTCTCCGCCGGACGGACGATGGTGGATGGCGATACACAGAATGGGCGCCCGCTGCTGCCGGTCTTGCCCTTGTCGGCCCGTTCAACTCGTGGGACGTCGACGCCCATCGCGCAGAGGTCGACGAGTACGGCGTGTGGCGCGTCACCATTCCGCCACACACCCTCGCTCCGGGGGATGTGGTCAAGACTGCTGTTCAGATGGGCCCGACAGCGGTCCACGGTGCGCTTGGTGAGTGGCATCATCGCATCCCGGCGTGGATCGAGCGCGTCGAGCAGGATCCCGAGACCGGTGCGTTCCACGGCGTGGCGGTCGACAGTGCAAGCGAGGACTATCAGTGGCAGGCGCCGAGGCCGGTTGCTCCGCCAGGCCCCGGGGCCACGGAAGAGCCGCTCATCATCTATGAGGCCCACATCGGGATCGCGTCGGAGGAGCTCGCGGTCGGGAGCTACGCCCACTTTACCGCCAACGTCCTTCCGCGCATTGCCGCGCTTGGGTACAACACTGTTCAGCTGATGGCAGTCATGGAGCACGTGTACTACGGCTCGTTTGGTTACCAAGTCACCTCGTTCTTTGCGGCGTCGTCGCGGTACGGGAGCCGGATCGAGCTCAAGTCACTCATCGACACTGCGCACTCGCTAGGCCTCCGCGTCCTCCTCGATGTCGTCCACTCGCACGCGTCTAAGAACGTGCTCGACGGACTCAACGGGTTTGACGGAAGCGACGCCGGCTACTTTCACGCCCCGCCGCGCGGCGACCACCCGCTCTGGGACTCGCGGGTCTTTGACTACTCGCAGCTTGAGGTCCTCCGCTTCCTGCTCTCCAACCTGCGGTACTGGATCGATGAGTTCCACTTTGACGGCATGCGGTTTGACGGCGTCACCTCGATGCTTTACACCCACCACGGAGTGGGCATGGGCTTCTCCGGCTCGTACGATGAGTATTTTGGCGCCGATGCATGCGTCGACACCGACGCTGTCGTCTACCTCAAGCTGGCCAATGAGCTTGTCCACTCGCTGGCTGCAGCCTCTGGCGGCTCGCTTGTCACGATCGCCGAGGACGTGTCGGGAATGCCGACGCTCTGCCGCCCGGTCGACGAGGGCGGTGTCGGCTTTGACGCCCGCCTCGCCATGGCGCTTCCGGACATGTGGATCAAGCTCCTCAAAGAGGTGCCCGACGAGGAGTGGAACATGGGCCACCTCGTCCACACCCTCACCAATCGGCGGTTCAACGAGGCAACCATTGCGTACGCCGAGTCGCACGACCAGGCGCTGGTCGGCGACAAGACCATTGCCTTCTGGCTCATGGACGCCGACATGTACACCCATATGTCGGTCCTCACCTCGCCCACGCCGCGCATTGACCGCGGCATCGCGCTCCACAAGCTCATCCGCGCCCTCACGTACATGCTTGGCGGCGACGGCTGGCTCGCCTTTTGTGGCGCAGAGTTTGGCCATCCCGAGTGGCTCGACTTTCCGCGCGAGGGCAACAGCTACTCCCACAAGCACGCCCGTCGCCAGTGGTCGCTTGTCGACGACCCGCTCCTCCGCTACGCCCACCTCAACGCCTTTGACGCCTCCCTTCACGCCCTCCACGCCGAGCTGCGCTGGCTCGCCCGTCGCGCCCGGCATACGTCTCGGCCAAGCACGAGGCCGACAAGATCATCGCCTTTGACGTCTCGCATGCCGTCGTCGTCTTCAACTTCCATCCCTCGTCGTCTTTCGAGTCGTACCGCGTCGGCACCCCTGGCCCGGCACCTACACCATCGCCCTCGACTCTGATGCGCCCGAGTACGGCGGACATGCACGCAACGCGCTCGATACCGTCTTCTTCTCCGAGCCGGTTCCCTGCGGCGGCCGCGACCACTCGATCCTCGTCTACTCGCCCTCACGCACCGTGGTCGTCTACAAGCTCCGGTCCGAGCCTGGCTAGATGTCGCCGTCCAACCATGCCAGCCCACCACAACCATGACCATAACCACGTCTATGACCATAGTCGCAATGACAGCGATAGCCGCAACCAGGTTCATCATCACTCCTCACTGCTGCCCCCCCCCCCCCCCCCTGCCAACTCTCTCACACCTTGCTGCCTTGCCCACCTCTCGCCACTGCACCATGCCAAAGACGAGCAAGAAGGCAAGTGGCAAGGCAAGCAGCAAGACGAGCAGCAACAGCAGCAACAAGTCGACACTCAAGCGCAAACGGCCGACAACGTCCGAGGCATCTGTGGCTGGCCTCTCGACGGACGACGTGCTGGGACCTGTGCGGGAGGAGAGGACGGTGGTGGTGAGGGCTGCCAAGCGGCCAAAGGTGACGCTCGAGTCGCTTGACTTGCCTGGAGTTCGAGATGAAGTAGCTGAGATGGAAGACAACGAAGTAGTGAGTGCCATCGAGGCCATGGTACTGCGGATGGCCCATGAGATTTTGGCAGAGAAGGGCCTCACCTACGAGGTGCCCTCGCGATCGTCGTCGAACCAGCAGTTTGTGCCCGAACTCAACCGGATGGTGCTCAAGAGCAAGACCACCATCCGGGACTTTACTGGCATCAACTCGGTGCGAAAGACCGCCATCACTACCCGTGTCCTGCAGCTCATCCACGAGCTCTGCTCCAAGGGCATCCACGTGACCAAGCGTGACCTGTTCTACACAGACGTCAAGCTCTTTGAAAAGCAGACCGATACCGACGACATTTTGGACGACGTCGCCACCATGATCGGCTGCACACGGACCTCGCTCAACGTTGTCGCCTCTGAAAAGGGTGTCGTTGTCGGCCGCGTCTCCTTCCGTGACGCCGGCGACCTCATCGACTGCACCCGCATGGGCGTTGGCGGCAAGGCCATTCCGCCCTTCACCGACCGCATCACTGACATCGAGTCCGACGCCGAGTTTATCCTCGTCGTCGAGAAGGACGCCGCCTTTATGCGCCTCGCCGAAGACCGCTTCTACAACACCTACCCTTGCATCATCATCACCGCCAAAGGCCAGCCTGACGTCTCCACACGCCGCTTCCTCAAGCGCCTCAAGGAGGAACTCAACCTCCCTGTCCTCGGCCTCTTTGACTCGGATCCCTACGGCTGCCGCATCTTCTCCGTCTATACTACCGGCTCCAAGAACCTCTCCTACGACTCGGCTTCGCTCGCCACCCCGGACATCAAGTGGCTCGGCGTCCGCCCCTCTGATCTCGACCGCTACAACATTCCCGAGCAGTGCCGCCTCCCACTCTCCGACCGTGACATCACCGCTTGCCACCAGCTCCTCAAGGAGGAGTTCATCAAGTGCAACCCCGAGTGGGTCAAGGAGCTCAAGCTCATGCTCAAGACCAAGGTCAAGGCCGAGATCCAGGCCCTGGCCACCTTTGGCTTCACCTACCTCTCCGAGACCTACCTCCCACAGAAGCTTGCTGCTGGCGACTGGATCTAGAAGCCTCTGTCCACCCCCTACCCCCTAAACACACACACACACGCACACACAGCCTGGGCCCCAACTTGTGCCCCAGCTCGACCGCCTCACTGCCAAGACCAGCTTATCTCCGTACGCGCACACCCTTTCCACATGATTGCATGCAGGCTTCGATCGCCCACCCACCCTCTCCATCCATCCCTCTTACTCTCTCCCTCTCTCCCTCTCTCTCTCTCTCTCTCTCTCTCTCTCTCTCTCTACCGCCGTAGAACCACATCCACGCATCCCATCACACCATCCATCACACATCCATGCCCATCACAGCCGAGGAGAGCCTGAGGAGAGCCACCGAGAGAGCAAAAATACAAAATTTCAACATTTCCCGTTCTCCAAGAATTGGCGCCACCACCACACCCACACGACCAAGACGAGCCACGAGCCAACGGCAGGACACCTAACCCCAACCCGCTCACGGACAGACAGACAGCCATCATGTCTGAGGTTGCTGACAAGGAGAACACGCCGAACGTTATGCTTACGACCACTACTATGGCCACTACCACTGCCAAGCGCCGGTTTGGCTGGTCACCTTCCAAGGCTGCCACCAACACCACCATGGCCAACAACGAGAATACGGTCATGACCAAGGCAAGTGGTGACGACACCGCCGACTTTGCTGTTCACACCGACAACGTTGTCGATGACATGGCGAGCGAGGAAAAGGACGAGACTGGGGATGCAGTCGTGGCCATGGACGAGGCCGACGACAACGCGGGTGTGGCCAAGACCGGTGAGACGCTCGCGCAGGTGGCATCGTCGCTCTTCCCGGCTTCGTTCGAGGCGCAAGTGGCAGAGGCCATGTACCCCAAGTTTACCAAGGAAATGCGGTACAACATGAAGAAGAAGCTCGATCGCCTCGGTGAGTACTACCGCGCTCTCAAGCGGAACATGCAGACCATGATCGACAAGAAGAACGCCTTTGTTTCAGAGGTCGCTGCGCGGGAGGCCGACATTGGCCGTCGCGCTGACGAGCTCGCTGCCATCGAGTCGACCCTTCGCGCCGAGGTTCAGACTGCCCAGGGCGAGCTCGCTCACGTCCGCGGCAAGCTTGATGCCGCAGAGTCCGCCCTCGCCACCGCCACCGCAGAGCTTGATACCGCCAACGCAAAGGTCGCCTCCGAGGCTGCCGCCGCTGCCGCCGCCCGCACTGAGCTCGCTGCTCTCAAGGATCTCCTCCGCGAGGCCGAGGTCCTTGTCAAGTCGCAGACGACCGAGCTCACCGAGCTCAAGCACGCCTCGGCGCTCGCCGAGCAGGAGGCCGCAGCCGCCGCAGCCGCAGCCGCCGCCGAGATGGACAGCGTCAAGCGCGCTGCTGCCGATGCTGCCGCTGCCTCGGCCGCATCTGCCGCCAAGGACGCCGCAGCCGCAGCCGACAAGCTCGCCGCCGCTGAGGCCTCGCTCGCTGACCTCAAGGCCCAGGTCGCCAAGGCTGAGGCGTCGGCCGCCGACACCGCGGTCTCTCTCGAGGCGACCCGAAGCCATCTGGCGTCGGCCCAGGCGGACGCCGCCGCCGCCGCCGCCCGCGCCGCCCAGCTTGAGGGCGCAAACTCGGCGCTGCAGAGCCAGCTCGACGCCAACTCGGCCCAGCTCTCGGCCGCCCTCGCCTCTTTCAACGAGGCTCAGGCGTTCAACAAGGAGCGGACCGCCGCCCTCACTGCCGACAAGGATCGCCTCGAGGCCGAGTTGGTCTCGGCCAAGGCTACTGTCGCTACGCTCGAGGCCCGCGCCGCCGAACTCGAGACTCAGCTGGCAGCCGCCAATGCCGACGCCGCCGCCAACGCCACCGCCCTCGAGGCAGTTCGCGCCGAACTCACCCAGCTTGAGGCATCAACGACGGCGGCCCAGGCTGAGTTTGAGGCCAAGATCGTCGACCTCGAGGCCGCCGCCGCTGCCGCCGCTGCCGAGCTCGCCTCTCTAGGCGAGGCCAAGGCCATGCTCGAGACCTCGCTTGAAGACGCCGAGCTCAACGCCGCCACCACCGCCGCCGAGCGCGACGAGGCCCGCGCCGCCGCCGCCGAGCTCAACGCTGCAGCCGCTACTGCAGCCGCCGAAAAGGCTCAGCTGGAGGCGAACCTCGCCGAGACCAAGGCCGAGCTCGAGACGACTGCGCTCGAGCTTGCCACCTTTAAGGCCAACTGCGGCGTGAGCTCTGAGGAGCAGCTGCAGAACCTGGTCCAGGTCACCAAGGAGCGCGACAGCCTGTTGGAGAAGGTCGCTGACCGCGACGCCGTCGCCGCCCAGCTCGCCGAGGCCCAAGAGCGCATCGCGCACCTCGCCGCCCTTGTCCACTCGGGCGAGGCCGTCCGGCGGACCCTCCACAATCGCATCCAGGAGCTGCGCGGCACCATCCGAGTCGTCGCCCGCGTTCGCCCGCTCCTCTCGGGCGACTCGGACGAGGCGCACGCGTCGGGCGTCAACTTTCGGTTCGGCCTCGACAAGCTCTCGCTTGAGCTCAAGGACTCTCAGCACCGGTTTGCCTTTGACCAGGTCTTTGGCGAGTCGGCGAGCCAGTCCGAGGTCTTTGACGAGGTCGCCAACTTTGTCCAGAGCGCCCTTGATGGCTACTCGGTCAATCTCTTTGCCTACGGCCAGACTGGCTCAGGCAAAACCCACACCATGCAGGGCGAGGTGACTGGCGACGGCCGCGGCATCATCCCGCGTGCCATCGCCCACATCATGACCGAAGTCGACCGTCTCGCCGACCAGGGCTGGGCCTACACCATGAAGGCCACCTTTGTCGAGATCTACAACGAGACCATTCGTGACCTCCTCCGCGACCCGTCGACGCCCATGGACGCCCTGCCCAAGATCGGCATCCGCCACGGCGACGGCATCACCACCCTTATCGGCGCCAACGACGCCATCGTCTCCTCCGCCGCCGACATCGTCGGCCTTATGGAGCGCGCCAACGAGAACCGCTCCGTTGCCGCGACCTCGATGAACGCGCACTCGTCGCGCTCGCACTCGGTCTTCTCGCTCCACCTCACAGGCGTGAACGCAGAGTCCGGCGAGGCTCTCCAGGGCGTACTCAACCTGTGCGACCTCGCCGGCTCGGAGCGCCTTGCAAAGTCCAAGGCCACTGGGGACCGCCTTAAGGAGACCCAGGCCATCAACAAGTCGCTCTCGGCCCTCTCCGACATCTTTGTCGCCCTCTCCTCCAACTCTTCCCATGTGCCCTACCGCAACTCCAAGCTCACCTACCTCCTGCAGAACGCCTTTGCTGGCCAAGGCAAGTCGCTTATGATCGTCAACCTCTCGCCCTCGATCGACTCGCGCGGCGAGTCGCTCTGCTCGCTCCGCTTCGCCTCCAAGGTCCACAACACCGATCTTGGCAAGGCCAAGAAGCACGTCGCCGCTGCCCCGGGAGCAAAACGCACCCGTCCCAGCACCGCCCTCGGCGTCCGCACCGCCAACGGCAGCTCGCCGCCCAAGCGCCGCAAGACTCTCCGCCGCTAGCCGCCTCCCCCCCCCCCCCTG